TTTTTTTTTTTTTTTTTTTTTTTCCTTCAGACCTGCCCAGCACAGCAAGGAGGCAGCCTAGTCACTGTCGGCCTGTAGAGGCTTTGCTGAGTTGCTGTGGGCTCCGCCTAGCTACCGAGTGAACTTCCCTGCAGTCCTGTTTATATGGGTGTAGTTAGAACTGCTTTGGGGATGGTGGCCCGCCTCTGTTGGGGTGGAGTCTCTGCTGTGGCGGGTTGCCTTGGCAACGGCGGGCTGCCTCAGCAATGGCGGGTTGCCTTGGCAACGGCGGGCTGCCTCGGTAATGGTGGACACCCCTCCCCCACAGAGCTGGACCGTCCCGGTTTCAGCTGCGCTTGCTGTGAAACTCTCAATCCAGAGTTTCTGGTTGCTGTTCTTTTGTGGGGGTGGGACCAGCCGAGCCTGATCACCTGGCTCCCTGCCTCAGAGCCTTTTTTAAATTGGTGTTCCAGTCACCCGTTGAAGAGGCGCCGGGGTCTGTTTGTTTTCCCCTGCGGCCACTCACTGTGCTGGCTTAAACAGCGGCACTGAGGTTTGTGGCGCATTTTTTTATTTTTTTATTTTTTTTGCCCTGGAATCTACTGTCCTGGTTCTCTGCTCAGTCCCTTTTTTGAACCGGTGTATGGGCGACTTCCCGTGGCTCCAATCGCCAGCCTAAAGGGCCCCCGGACCAGTGTTTTTTGTACGGAGAACCGCGGTTCCGGGGCGCCGACAAAGCAGCCGCGCGGGGCAAAGCAGCGGCGCTGGCCGGCACAGCCGCACTGGCGACCGTGGAGCTCCTCCGCCCGGGAATTTCCCAGTCCGTGGGCAATAAAAACGCGGCGTCCACTCACCCTCTGTGCTTTCACTGGGAGCTGCAATCCTGAGCTGTTACTAAATGGCCATCTTGGAGCATCCCCCAGGATCTTGAAGTCTTAAAAAGTCCCCTCTAGATCCTTTCATGTGGGGATGAAGACAAGATGGCAAAGAGGAAGAAAGAGTAGGGAGGAGCAGAAGTAAATGGGAGAACAATTCTTTGAGTGGACAATTTGAGGTTTTCAGCTTTTCAAAAGGTCAATTACATTTTACATGTTTCTTAGTAAAAATTTTACCAACCAGGAAGGAAGCAAACAGAGGTACCAAATACATAATTAAAAACGGGTTTCAGTTGACTAAACAAAGTCCTAGAAACAAAATTCAAAAGAGAAAAAGTAGAAAGTCCTGTGCTTTAGATATATATTTTAGGGTGTGTGTGTGTGTGTGTGTGTGTGTGTGTGTATAAATAAATAATGCATGTGTGCTTTAAAATATATATATATATATATATATATATACTTTTTATGTATATTCATTTTAAAATATATATATATGCTTATTCAATATATATCTTGACTATCATTTTTTAATTAAGCTGACTTAACGACCATACAGTTTTCTAAAAGAAATTCTTTCAAATCTGCTGCAAGGTGGAGCAGCCTTTACTGTGATCCTGCAGAGTATTCTAAGTAGGCCGTCTGAACATACAAAGGATTTTAACTTTGTTTTAGGTCAGATTTTTCCTCTTTAACTTTGTCAAGAGAATTTCTAAGGCTAACCATGACATTATTATGTGTCTTTCTTTGAATTTGATCTATAGAAACAAGTAAGGCAATTGTTTTGAATGATATGTATACACATATTAGCAATGTGTGTGTATATATGTATGTGTGTATATATATATATAATCTTTTAAAAATTTAGGCATCTTTTTATTCTAATGGATTCACCTTTGGTCACTGATGATTAGGATTTTAATGATGTACCTGTTCTAATAGCAACCTAATCTAATAGCCTTTTTATGGAAAGCCCATGATGTAATTTTCCAGGTATAAATTATGTTAAAAATGTTTTTAATAGAGAGGACATGGAGGAAGGAATCCTAATGATTTCCCCCCCAAAAAATAACTCCCAGAAATAGGCTAAGATGCCAAAGCCTGGTCTTGCCACAGACAGTTAAGTATGGCATTTGTGTGTGTAGCATCTCTGGTAACCTACAAATTTGTGGAGTGTTGCCAGTCATAAAATCGCTGTTGCAAAAGTATGACGGTAAGATAAATCTGACATGACTGACTCCATCTTGCTTCTAGCACAGACTGGCTATCTTTGCTCATTCCTAGGCATGGGCCAAGCTAATTTGGGGAGAAATTTACTTTATAGTTTAAATAACAGTGTTAAAGGACCTTTGAGGTGTCATTTTCATGGCTGAAAGCTCTGTGGCCAGTGGCATCTTTGCCCTAAGTTTGCTTAG